TCTTAGAAAAACAAAATGAAAAAAAAAATAAACTGGGGGTTAAATAACACGAACGGCAATAACGCCAAATTTGCTTTATTTCACTTTTAAATGGGAAATAATATCAAAATCTGAGTTTCGCTTTATTTCCAACAAAGGTTGGAAATAAAACAAATTTTGCATTATTTCCCATTGCTTATTTATACAATTTGTAACAAAAACAATTTACTGACAAAAGGAAAAAGAACTTTGTTTATTCCAAAAATACTATTAAACATAAAATGTGATATAATTCATATGAAGAAAGTAATATTCACAAAATATTTTTAGTTATGAAAAGTCTAACAAAATATAGGGAAAGCGTCGTCATTAATAACTGCTTGGCAAAGTGGACATAGCGCTTTTGTATGAATTTTATCTGCATGCTTTTTAATAGGTTGAAAATATTGCTGGAAAACTTTAAAATGTTTGCATGGAACCAAGGCGCAATAAACAGGTGAAGTAATAAAACAGCTTTCTCGCTTTATTTTCTGAAATTCGGCGGCCTTATAGTCACATTTTAAAGGCAATTTTTCAGACGAGGCAGTTTCCAAATCTTTCTTCGCGCTCTAATTACTTCACCTGGTATAATTCCGCCATGGCATGGAGCAAACTAAAATCGCCGTTCCTGTTCGCAGCATATGTATAACACAGAGAATAGTTGTTTTCGTATTCTCCAGCAAAAAATATCCAGTAACTTGCCAGTAACCAAATTTCGGAGAGTAGTCCAAGTTTTATGAACAGCTGATTAATTTGTTATTTTCCGACGCAATATTCTAAGAAAAATAGTATTCCCCATGTTAATATATATTTAAATAGTTTTAATTTGTCAATTTCAACTCTCTATAAGCTCCACCAACAATTCTTTTGGTAATGTGAATTGCATCAAGCATCATGACATCAGCTGTTTTGCTTACTAGCGAATAGTTACTATTAAAAATGTATCCAGTAAAACTTGCAAGCTGTAATTTTTGCTCTCTCCATTCTCTGTTGTTGTTGTTGTTATAGCGGCTACTAAGCCCCGTTAGGGGCGGTTCATCCATCAACGTTGTCGTCTATTTCAGCTTCAGAGGGGCTGTCCATAGGGACAGGGGCGTTAGCTGAGTGGGATTCTCAGGGCATGTGAAGAGGTGCCGGGAGTCATGTGGCGACTCTCCTCATGCCGGGCATTGGTTGGGCACATCCTCGTTGATTCTGCTTAGGTAGCTATTGAGCCTGCTGCAATAGCCAGAGCGAAGTTGGGCTATTGTAGTGCGGGTCTCCCGAGGCAGACACAGTTCTGTCCCGTCCACGTCCGGTGGTTGTGTGCCTAGAACGGCATTCACAGGGCGGGAGTCTACATAACTTGAGACTGATTCCCTGTGAATGCCGTTCAGGGCCTGTCGGTAGGTTGACGGGTCCAGAGGTTGTTTAATATAACTCTGGACTGTCAGTTCGTAAAATACCTCCTGACGTGCCGTGGCGAGGGCTCTTCCAAGAGCAGTTGCCCGCTGGGATGGCCACGTCTGTGGCTCCCAGCGAGGAACTGCTTGCAGAGCATTATGTTATGCTCCCTTACTGGGAGCATCTGGGCCTCGTCGTGAAGGTGGTGTTGAGGCGTCATCAGGAGGCATCCTGTCGCAGTTCGTAATGCCGTGTTTTGGCGGATCTGCAGATTCATCCACTGCGTCCTGCTAGTCCCCGGCGACCATACGGGCGCTGCGTAGTTCAGAACCGGCCGGCCAATTGCCTTGTATGTTGCCAACAACGTTTCTTTATCTTTGCCCCAAGTGCTGCCGGCCAGCGACTTGAGGACAATTGTGGTTGTATGCGCCGAGAAGGAGAGCAGACTGTCGAAGGTAACTCCCGAGGATTTTCGGGTTATTCACCGTCGGTATTGTTACGTCGTCAACGTGAATACCCAGTGTCAGTCTGCCCTCCTTCGTCCAGGTGGTGAAAAGGGTTGCCGAGGATTTTGCAGGGGATAGGCCAAGGCTCCTTGTAGTGAAGAAGCGAGAAAGTTCGGAGAGGTAACCGTTTACTTTTGAGCACAAGTCATCAATTCCATTCCCAGACGCCATGATCGAACAGTCGTCAGCATACGAGACTATATTAACCCCCTCTGGTGGCTGAGGAAGCTTTGATATGTAATAATTAAACAGTAGCGGGGACAGGACACCACCCTGTGGTACCCCCTGTTTAATTTTACGTGGCTTACTGGTTTTGTCTCTGAAGATTACTGACGAGTGTCGACCACTCAGGTAATTCGCCGACCACCGTTTGAGTCCCTGTAGGAGTGAGGAGGCCTCTGTATCTTCTAGTAGCGTTGAATGACTGACAGTGTCGAACGCCTTGGACAGGTCCAACGCTACTAGAATAGTTCTCTCACAGCGGCGGTTTCGGTTTAGGCCACGAGTTATCTGAGTGTTTTTGGCGTTAAGTGCTGTTGTTGTACTATGCACTTTACGGAACCCATGTTGATGCTTCGCTGGGGTCAGGTGGTGGACCCAAATTTTTCACCATCAACATGCATATTCCATCGGGTCCAATGACTTTGGAGGCTTTCGCCTTCCCGATGGCTACCCTTACCTCACCGCTGGTGAAAACAAGAGGCGCACTAGGTTTTGGCATTTTGTGCAGCCTTCTGGTCACTCGACGTTTGGCTTTTTCCACCGGAGGATGCAGAATGAACTGCCGGCTATAATAGCACGCGCATCTCTCCGGGTCCGACGAAGCGTGGTCACCAAAGTCTATCTCGACTCTGTCGCCGCGCTTCGTCGGGTTGGACAACGACCTCACGGTTGACCAAAGCTTGCTCACACCAGAGGCGAAGTTGCAGGTCTTCAGATGCTCTTCCCATTTCTTCCGCTTATGTACGTTCACAAGTTGCCGAATCTCCGAATTGAGATCCCTAATACGGGGATTTCCGGGATCGGCCTGACGAAGGTTGTCGCGCTCATCACCTAGAACAGCCGCTTCGGCCGGAAAATTCGGACGTGGATCCTTAATACATCCTGCTGGGATGAAGGGAGCTGCAGCAGCGGTGACAACCCTGCGGAACTTACGTTCACCTACATGAACGTCGGTTGGTATGGGTAGTGCAGTGAAGGCGCCCTCAGTAACATCCGTGAAGCCTTTCCAGTCAGCTTTGGAAAAGTCCAGTGATCCACGGAAGCAAAGTCGGCAGGTTTATCAATCGAGATGACTATGGGCAGATGGTCTGATGCTAGAGTCAGCATAGGTCGCCATGATACGCTGTTTATCAGACCAGCGCTGACAATTGTTAGATCTGGCGAGCTGCAGCAGCTGCCCATAGTACTGGTGGGTCATTGACATTGATCACTTGACAGGCTTGAGTGCCAGAGATCGTGGTGCGCGTTAAAGTCACCAACTACCATACGGTTTTCACCTCTGAGTAGCGCACCTATTTCAGGGTGATATCCTGCCGGGCAGCTGGTGACAGGGGGTATGTATACGTTAAATATTTCGAGCTCAACATCGCCTGACCGGATAGCAATACCCTGACATTCTAGGATGGTATCCCTGCGGTCGATGTCTGCTTCAATGAGACGATACTGCACGGTGTGGTGCGTGATGAACGCTAAACCTCCACCATTATCTCGCTCGCGATCTCGACGGTGCACGTTGTATCCGGCGCAATTCAACAGGGTTGAATTGCCGTGCAACTTCGTCTCTTGGACCGCAGCTATTAATATTCCATGCCTTCCCATAAAGACAGTTATCTCCTCGATCTTGCTCTGGAGTCCGTTACAGTTAAATTGTAGCACCTTTGTGTGCCTTGGGAGACCGATTGTGATGTGTGGTGTTAAGGAGTTGTGTTGCCCTCCGGCCCCCTGCAGTACGTGCTGCCTTGTGGTGGTGGTTGGCGGCGTCGCGGGGGAGGGATGCGACGGGGCAGCACAGCAGGGGCCCACATAGTCACTCGTCCAATCTCGTGTGTTGCGAAGTCCTGAGCACGCCCTAAAGTGGCACCAGCCGAGGCAGGAGTTGCACTTGACTGATGTCACGTTACGGTATATTCTGGACTGACAAACAGAGCAGATTGTCGGAGCGACTAGTAGTTGCCGGCGGCGGCGTGTGGGTGCTATTGTGTTTGTTTGTGTGTCTATTGTTGTGTTGTGTTGGGGTGTGGGTGTGTTGCCCAGGCGGGTGGTGGTTTGCCGTGGAGGCGGTCCGGTTCGCACAGCATGGGGCCACGAACGACGAGGTCCATTTCCGGTGCGTACGCAGGCCCGAGCAGTTACGGAGGTGACTCCACCCGTCACAGGCATTGCACCTGACCGAGGTGGAGTTTGTATGCAGTCGTCTCTGGCATACACAGCAGGTGTAGATTTCTGGCCCTGGGTTTGACTCTATGCCAGCCCTGAGCAGAAGGGTGCAGAGAAGGTATAGTCCTAGGATCGAGCAACGTTTGATGGATTTCGCCGACCTAAACGAGGTTAGATCGCCGAAACAACAGCGTAAACAACAGGTAAAACGCGAGTCATTCCGGTACGTAGAACCGGCTGACGTGGGAATGTTCTCTCTCCATTCTCTCTCTTTTGCTGGTTTCGTGCAAGTTTTTGCGTACGAAAACGCCGTCCAGTAAAAACCAGTATAATTAGTACTGGATAGTGCGTACGCGAACAAGGCTCATATTGTTTTGAGTTTTATCTACAGTTAAAATTTCTGCATTATCATACCTTGCTTAACTATATCCGAACTGTGGATTTCGTTTACGAAGATGAAGCGAACATGTGGTACGAAAAAGTGATGTAAAAATATGTAAAATTTTACCTACTCTCACACTTCTAAATTTCAATGTATACTCGATACAAGCAAGTGGGATGAATGGCGCAATAAACATGTGAAGTAATAAAAAAGCTTTCTCGCTTTGAATATTTCCAATGGTCGCCTTTCGCACTCACCTTGTTCACATTAAACACTTTGTATCCGCTTAAAGGAAAGGTTTTTGTTTCAGATAAGAAATTCAAATATTTTTGTGTTTATTTGTGCACCCCACAATTAAAGTTAATTTACAAAGCGTTTTTATTAAAACTTTAGAGTTAACTCTCGTATGAATCATCAAATGCTAGGGCGCGTGCGCGATGTCCGACGTTTTTGGCTGAACTGACTGGTCTCTCATTTGGCCCGATTATGGGAAGCGGCCGTGCGCGCTCGTTAATCATTTTTCGGACTTCACACCGCTGCGGCCACAGGATGCGCGCACGGCCGCTGAATTAAGTTTAAGTGGCGGCTTAAACATCGTCCCCGCCCTGCAGGAATGCGTTGCTGAGCGTCTCCTGCAGCTCTTTCAGGGCGCGGATCGTGTTGCCAAGGACGCGGTGGGTGGTGCGACCCTGGAAATTGGCCGTTTGTAGGCCTTGAGGAGGGCGCGCGATCGTCCGTTGGGCGGTCTTCTTGCGCGGCGGTTGCGGCGCCTGGTTGCGCGGGTTCTTCTGCGCCTTCTTCTGCCCACCTTTCTTCGGCGGTGCCCTCCGCTTGATGGGCTTGCATGCTGTCGATTTGGCCCGGTTGGGCTGCTGGTTTCGTTGGCCTGTGCGCGCGGGCCTGTTAGCTGCCACATGCAGCAGCGTATGGTGCGCTAAGCCACAAACCTTGCAGCTGCCTGGTGAGTCGCATTCGCCGGTTGTGTGGGTGAGCGCAAGGCAGTTGACCCAATACCCTTGCGCCCGGGATACTGCCAATCGCTGCGGTGGCTTCATGGCCTTGAAGGCCGGGCACGTCCTGAGCGCGTGGTACCGGTGGCAGAGCCGGCATTGTAGACAGTTGTCTGTCTCCGCCGTTGGAGCCAGGGGGCACGCCTTCCGTGCTGCCATGATGTCTTCGATCTGGAAGTAGAAGCAAAGGCAGAGAAACGAGAAGTACTTGGGTACAATGTTTAAACGGGAAGTTAAGACCCTTAATATACAGAAGGAAAATATGTATAGAATTATCTATTGTGCTTTTGGAAGGAAGCACAGTTTGACAAGTGGCCGCGTGATAACTCCATTTTGTGTACGGACTTCCACGACACGTATGTGGTTATCAGGGCCATGGCGAACGTTTTCGATTCGTCCCAATCGCCACTCGGTGGGGGGGAGTGAATCTTCTTTGATCACGACGATGTCGCCTGGCTGAGGATCGCGTTGTGGGGTTTTCCACTTGTATCTCTTCTGAAGATCTTTGAGGTAATCTTCTTTCCAGCGGCGACTAAATTGGTGGTGAAGTGCTTTGACTTTCTCCCACCGGTTTAGTAGAGGTTTTCCGCATTAGGCTCGGGAATG